TAATAAGGTCATTTTCACAATATTAATTCTTCCAATCCATGAGTATGGGAGGTCCTTCCATCTTCTGATGTCTTCCTCAATCTCTTTAATGATTTAAAATTTTCATTGTAAAGCTCTTTAATATCTTTGGTCAAGTTTATTCCGAGATATTTTATTTTCTTTGCAGCTATTAGGAAGGGGAGTGTTTCCATGTGCTCTTCTCTGATTGCTGCTATTGGTATATAGAAAGTCTACAGACTTTTGTAGGTTAATTTTGTAACCTGCCACTTTACTGAAGTTGCTAATAATTTCTAGGAGTTTTCTGGTGGAATTTTTGGCGTCCCTTAGATATAATATCATATCATCTGCAAAAAGGGATAATTTGATCTCTTCTTTTCCAATTATTACTACTTTAATATCCTGCTCTAATCTTATTGCTCTTTCAAGAGTTTCAAGCACTATGTTCAAAAGAAGTTAAGAAAAAAAAAACAGCCTTGTCTAATTTCAATGGGAATGTTTCTAGTTTTTCCACATTTAGAATGATGTTGGCTATGGGTTTGTTATATATGGCTTTAATTATGTTGAGGTATGTTCCCTCCAGTCCAGTTCTTTCTAGGACTTTGAACATAAATGCGTGTTGAATTTTGTGAAATGCCTTCTCTACCTCTATTGAGATGACCATGTGGTTCTTATCTTTGAGCCCATTTATATGGTTTTGACATTTATTGACTTACATATATTGAACCATCCCTCCATCTGTGGGATAAAGCTGACTTGATCATGGTGGATGATCGTTTTGATATGTGTCTGTATACAGTTTGCAAGTATTTTGTGGAGAATTTTTGCATCTGTGTTCATTAAGGATATGGGTCTATAGTTTTCTTTTTTGGTTGTATCTTTACCTGGCTTTGGTATGAGAGTGATGCTGGCTTCATAGAAGGAATTTGGAAGTTTTCCCTCCATTTCTATTTTTTTGAATAAATTAAGTAGTATTGAACATACAACTTCCTTAAATGACTGATAGAATTCTGCTGTAAATCCATGTGGTCCTGGGCTTTTTTCAGTTGGGAGGTTTTGTATTACTGTTTCAATTTCTTTTTGTGTTATGGGTCTGTTTAAGCTGTTAATCTCT